TTATGCTTCCTCAAATTCTTAAGCCACAGGACATTCATGGATACCTTTTTTCTTTGCTGTTAGCTTTGAAACAGGAGCAAAATAAAGACAATGAGACTCTCAAGCAGCTATGCTGCACCTACTGCTAGAGGAAAGTAAATTATATGACTGGGAAGTAACAGTGGCTGCCCAAATTTTCTGCCAAATTCCTGATGACATTGGCTCATACACTGCTTTTCTAGTTTCCTTCCTTTATCTGAATTTTTACTCCATGGCCAGGTATGACAGCAGTGAATGCTATTGCCTACAGGTAGAAAATAAAGGTAGGAGACATGGGAAGACCAATAGTTGAGCTGCCACAAAAGACAAAACGGCATCAGCGTAGTCTCTGTGTGTCCTGGAAAGATGCACATTAGTGACTTTAGGCAGTTGTTAGAGGCACCGCAGTTGTCAGGTCACAATTTCAGCTAAACTCATTTGCTACTAAATCTTTCCTAAGTTATCTCTGTCATCAGAGGATCTGTGATCACTCAGGTAATACAACAATGGCTGAAACTTTAAATGCAGTCAGATTGATAGGGCCCATTAAGACATTCATCAAAAGCTACTAAAAACTTACTGATTTATGGCTACCAGCAGGAAAGTTTCGTTACAGGCAGTTATATTTTTCTTCTTCAGCTTTCAGAGCTGCTTTTGTAGAGGTTTCACTGTTTAAGTATTTAGAGCTTAATGAATCCTCAAACAATGGTCTGATGTTAAGCTCTCAGGACTGCCAGCAATGACTGAGGTTGAAAATAACTTAGAAAAGGGCCCCCCAATAGCATGAGGTGAGCACCAAGGCTCTGACTGATAAGTGCAGTTGCTTGGTGCCCTTCAGAGCTTAAATTCATGACCAAGTTACAGCAGAATAAATATAAATGCACTTCAGATGACCCCCAGCAAATATCTGTGTACACAGTCTTAACTAGGCCAGAGCTGAGCTTATCACAGCCCCAAACACCCTTCAAAGTCAAAAATAGGAAAGAAAATTGCTCATTTGGTTCTTCCACACTGATACAGACCTATAACCATTTCCATGGCAGGGACTGAGAGGACAGTCCAAGATGTTTCTGTTTGGCATAAATGTAATTTGTACTTAATGTCTTGGAGGTATAAAACTGTGCTGGCCCTCATGGAGTTAAACAGCCAGGAGATCCTGAGCACAAGCAGACCTCAAAACTAAGCTGTGTCTCAACACCTGAGAAATGTTGGGACTGACACGCAGCTGTATTTTATCAGGGGATGTGACATCCAACCTGCTTTCTCATTATAAAAGCAGCAGGACTATGTTTTTAGGAGGGAGCCAGTTTCGACTTTCTCTGTACTTGAGGACTTTCCCAACCATCACACAACCATAGACTAACTGGATGTACCAGAGTGAATTCAGGTAAAGAGTGACTCAGGATTTCTGAGGCAGCATCAAGTGCAAACAAGACCTTTGAGATGAATTACTGACTATCTCAAAGTGAAACAGCACTGACAGATGCACTCTGTGTCACAGGGCAGTCACCTTTTTCTCTTTAGAGGTGATTCTTCCTGGAGATCAGACCTATGAAAGCGGCACCTTCCACCACAGAAGCAATCTGCATCCACTTCCTCCCAATACATAAGGGAGGCAACCCATATATGTGGTCACACCATGTGCCCCGTAGCCTCTGGGAATCGCTGTCCAATTTCAACTGGAACACGAAAAGAAGCCACCAACAAAATTCATTCCTATACATTTTCAGAAAACTGGGGGTCAAACAGAGCAGAAAGTCTCTGTTGGTGCCCTTACAAGGGGAAGGGCTAATAAACTGAGCTCTCCCTCAACACCAGAGAACGCCCAGAAGGACATGTTAGAAAGCAGATCTGACTCCTCCCATGGCTTGTGAAACTGCTCGTTTCTTCCCCCATTACTCTGTGATGCACCCTGAAGTTCTTCAAGCAGTTGAGCTCCTATCTTGTAGGATGCTTCCTGCTCCCAACTGCTCGTGCCAGGCTTGCTGGGCTTGGACCTTAAAGATACTCTGCCTTTATCCGTAGCTTGGGGGTGGCTGTGGATTCATAGTTCAAACTGTGGTTTTCTTCTCAGAAAAGGCAGAGGTTCCTGAAAACCTCTGCTGGCTTCTGGAGTCCAAACTCTACTGGATTTCAAAGGGGACTTTTCTTCCTCATTGCTTGAAGCACCTGAAACCCTCTCAAGTCAGTTTGTTCCTGTAAATGTTTTGAGACTCCTCCAGCTTCCTAGAGTGCTCTGACCTTTCATCTTCAGGATCCCTCTGGAGGCAGGCCTGAAGGATGCCCAGCTAACAATCTACTTCCCTGCCACACTGCAGGGTCTGATTCAAAGCCTGACTGTGCAGGAAGCTGAGTCCTGATTTTGGTAGGCCTGCAGAACGACTCATGTCTCCATTATCTGCAAGGGAAATTTTTAAACCTTTGCTCACAGGGAGTAGCAGCTGATGCTCTTAATCATCACGAAGAAAGGAGAGGGATGGAAAAATGCCTGCCTCCCAGCTCTCTTACTGAGTGTTTAGGATGAGACCTTTCCTCAGTGGGAGCTGGTTCTCCTCCAACTTTCTACATTGTTCCTTTGAAGCATCCTGCTCTTAGATCCTATTGAAAACAAGGTACTAGTAGTCTTACTGGGCAAGTTATTACAGTCTTCCCTAAGCAACTAAGAAAATTGCAGACAAGCCAAGTGAGAATCCTTCCCATATCTATTATGAAACAACCCTCTGAGCCTGGAAATACTGAAGCAGCCTAACAGTAGGATAGAGTACCAACACAATATCAAAGCCTCTAAAACAGAAGTTCCCCAGATTTTCCAGTCCTCCCTTGTTGTTCAAAGACTCCTCCATCAAAGCTCAAACCCTTGCAGGACCAACAGATCATGTGAGAGGCATCAGAGGATTATTAATTTGAAAGAAATGGGTGGAAAGTGTGTCAAGCACACCCAATCTTTGAACTGGGTACTTTAGAAGATCATTGCAAAATAAAAGACAACTGCACATTCATTTCTCTTTAGAAAGACACATTGCACAAAGCCACAATAGTTACATGACCTTCATGTGAAGGAGAACAGAAAGACCAATCTTCACTTATTGTAAATTTACTTGGAAAGGCAACAAAGCCATGCCAGTTTTCACCAGCTGAAGATACAACCAAATGTCTGCAGTACACTGAAGACAAACCTATAAGGCCTATTCATTGTGAACGCTTCTGGGCATAAGTTAATCAGTGAAAAATGTCTTTCCAGAGATTATTATGGTGCAAATAGAAGTCCTTGAATTTAGCCTGTTATGAAGACTATTCCTTCTTCTAAAGCATGCATTGGAGGGTGGGATCTATTAACATCATCTGGCTACAGGAAAGCCTACAGTCTCAGAATTGTTTCTGTCTGGTAGCTTGCATTTACCTGCAACATCACCTTTACTGTGTCCTCTCCAAAACCCTGTCCAGAAGACAGGCCAACAGCAGAACAAATGTTTTTCCCACTGACACTGACTGGTCCAGCAGCATTGATCAACGCCAAGAGGGATCCACGCCTTGTCCCCACTCTGGCATCTCATGGGAGAGATACAAATCAACACCTCTGAACTCAAGGTTGCTGTTAATGTGCTCTTAAAGGATAATGACACTGGCCATCAGCCTAGAGGCCACAGCACAGTCAGTACTTTGTTTAGGTTCATTTCCTTCTAAAAGTGAAAGAGGATGCTCTCTATTTTCTACAGCAACAGAGAGACTTGAAAAGGGAACTTACTTTTTGTAGGAAAGCTCTGCTGCTCCTGTTGTGCAGCAGATGGGAAACGAATGAACGGTGAACATCTGTACCATCCCAGTCTCTATCATTAGCACCTCTCAAACACCCCAGAACTTGTTAGCATCACCACTGAGGTCATATCCAGCATTTTCCACTCTAAGACCTTTACAGGACTTCATATTGGAGACATTAATGTTACTCTCATATATGGATTTTTGTCACTGAATATATGACCAGTATTCAACTACGCAGTAGCCAAACCAGGAATAAAAAAATTTCAACCACAGGGACATCTGGCTTGTCAGCCATCTACCTGAGACAATACAGAGCTGAGACTTCCAAACAACGCTGACAATCTTAAGGAGGATGAGCATGTGAAATCATCTGAATGCATTGCCAAAACCCAAAACCAAAACAAAAAGCCCCCACAAAAAAAACCCCATCTACGTGAATGCCAGCTAGATCTCTTATTTGCTCAGGAAAAATGCTTGGCAAGAAAGTAGTGCTGACCTGGTCCCACACAATTGCACAAGAGAAAGTTCTGATTCCCTCTAGTTTTGATAAGGAAATTGTAAGCAAGGAGATATTTTGTAACCAGAATTACTCTCACACAAACATTCAGCAAGGGATAGTCATAACATCAAAAGGAAACAGATTTATAGAGTTTTCTTTTGTATAATACAAATAACCAATATTATTAGTTCTCTAACTTTTGGACTTACAGAAGCACTAGACACAATGGGACAGAGGGCCTTCTGTCCCTAATTCCTAGGTGTACTGAATGTTGACTAAGGCAAGATGCTGTATTACATGGCATTCCAAAATAGCCTTCCCCCCATCCCACCCCAAAACTGAAAAAAGGTCTCATGCAGGAGTTTGCCTTACTGCATGAAAAAGATCTTGGCCTGCTTGAGAAAGTCAGCTCTTGAGAGCCTGACCTTCAAGAGCAAGACTGCTCCGCTGTTACGGAGCTGACATGACACTTGCTGTTCTCCAAGGTAGGAAAGCACACATCTTTCCATGTGTCTAACCTCTGCTCCCCTGCTTCATGCTGGACTTCTCAGCTGGATTCAGAGGTCTTTATCCCTTTATTTTCATTGCAAATCTCTCAAATATTTTCTATGCACACAGCTCTTGATGAGAACATCTTGACGAAGCACCACCACCTATACGGGCGTCTTGTTTTATTACCCTGAAGTGTAAGGGCTTGTGGTGTGGATTGGAGGCAGCTGCTTACCTGGACAGCTGAAGTATGTAGCATGGCATGATGTTCTATTTCTCTGAGCACATGCACTGCATCTTCAGATCTGCACCAACAACAGGCAGCTACCAAATTTTGGACAGCATTGAATTAGGTGTCCTTCAGATCCTAAATCACTTGTTCCCTCCTGAAGGTTCACAAGATGAGAGATCTAAAATACAGATAGGAGAAAGAAAATCAATTTAAAAGGCATGCAAACTGATGCATGTGTGCTCACCGCCACTGCCCAACCACAATTACTCATTTATTTTGTTATGGGCCAAATTTTTGGTCTTTGCCAACAGTTTCCATAATGTAAAGGGAGCAGCTTGGAAAATGAGTCACACCATTGTGTCACCCCTTCAACTTCCACAGTGGTGGGCTACAAGCAGCCAACACGGTGGCATTGTGCTTCAGGGGACCTGCTGGCTGGCCCCTCGGGTTTCCACCTTCAGATAGGCAGGCTGGCATTGGCACAGGCTGCAGAGGGGCTCACACAGTAACTTACTGTGCTCCTTAAAAAGGAAACTCCTGAAAGGATCTCTAACTGCAGGGAAAACTTCCATTAAAAGCATTTTAATAAGTTCTCCATGGAAAGATAACTTCTTAGCACATGCTGTTCCAATTTAGATTAGTATTATGATGCCGTAAAAATGAAAGAAAACAGGTATCTTTTCTGTAGGAGTACAGCAGTTTTTAAACCCACCTCCCCTCTAGGAGAGGATGAGCCTCAAAGTCCAATATTAGACTCAAAAATCAACTTTGTTAACTCCAACTTTGCATCTGCCCATTTCCATCGGCTCCACTGGAGCCATCCCCAATTTCTTCCTTTCTCTTTATTTTACAAGTTTATTAGCAGCAGACTGAAAGAAGAGAAGGCCATTACTTTGTTAAAAAATGGGCTGAGCCCCTTCTGGATACTGAGATGCCAGACTTCCCAAACTCCAGTAGAGTTCACAGGACAGCAAATCTGTAGTTAATATGGTCCCTGCCCAAATCTTGTCTCCAACATCTGCACAAGAGCACTGGGTGCTCTGTACAACTTTGACACAACCTGGGCTGCCAAAGGGATCCCAACAGCCATATCTCAGCAGCTGAGCTCACTCCTCAGTGGTCAGAACACCCCAGGGAGGTCCTTTTTGTGTTTCCACAGCAGAAACAGCAGGGAAGCAGGCAATAAAACCACCCAGCTGCACCTCCACAGGCATTGCTGTAACACACATTGCATCCATGGTCTAGAAGGCTGTTCTAAGCCAGAGACGGTAAATCACAGCTAGCTGGGTGAGAAAGATGTGAAGCCTGGAGGGTTCTGTAAAACACAAAGGTGGAGGATAGATCCCTGAAGAGCTATAAAGTGCAGATCTGGCTACAAGTAACACTGGCTAGCGCATACCTAGGTTATACATCAAAAGCACTTACAGACTTAAAGAGGAGTGCCAAAATCAGGCCAGAGTTCACAGCAGTTCAAACTGTGCACCTCTGAGCCTGCGGGCTCTGCCCCAGGGAGGTGAACTCGGATGCCTCTGAAGTAGAAGGAGGAAGAAGGCTTGGCTGGGTGGATACCACATTGACAGCCCAACCCCTGGGCAGGGGACAGTGAGAGAAGCAGCAAGTGGCACTCTACAAAACAAGCCTTTCACAGCGACCTTGCACCTGCTGTTAGGATCACCTTGAGGTACCAAAGGAAGAAGCTCCAAAGGCATGAGGTCCCAAGTCACGCGAGTCACCAGTGTCCCATGAAGAGAACATGAGCTCCCCGGGAGACTGTTACAGCCCTGCAGGTGCTTGTGTGATGCCAAGCAGTACAGCTCTCCAAGCGGCATATCCCAGCATGGCACTGGTGTGCACCACCCAGCCCCATTTGAACAGGGCTAAGCAGAGCAAGGACGACCCTGTAAAGTTGGTGGATGCTTCCTCCTTTATCCTCATCCAGACTTGCACCAGCTAGAGAGCGGAGTCAAGCACAGATTTGTATGGGCGTGTGAAAAATTTGCACTTGGGTCTAGCAGGTTGGCTTTCCCAAAATGAGGGCTTCTTTCACCTACCCTACACAAGGCTCACACACCGTGCCAGAACATCTTGGTGCTCGCTCTATAGAAATTAAATCAACTCAGCTACAAACAGTACTACAAGCCCCATGACAGCCTCAGCCCTCCCCGTTTCCCCCAGCCTTCAGGAAGGCTGTGAGCCCAGGAGCCACAAGCCTGTCTCACGTCCACATCTGGCCTCTCTCCTCACCAGGACCAGCCTTGGTTTCTAAGTCATGACACCCCAAAAGTAACCTTTGCACCAAAGTAGCCCAGCTGATTTCCAAAGACAACACAAACCCAAGCTAGATCAGAAAAAGGTGGCAGGCATGAAAGGAGGGAGGAAAAAGAAGGAAAAAAAAAAAGAGAAGAAAGGGAAATATGGAACAGAGCAATCTTCTGCTCTCCATTCATGTCATGTTCTTGCACACTTCGTAGCGCTCCTCTCTGCAGCCCCCACATCCACACAGAGCGCAGAAATCAGGCTGCCGTTTCACATAGCGCTCAAGCGCAGGGCTAAGTCTGTAACCAAGAGCCTTGCAGCCAGCCCTTTCCCCACCTTCCCTGCCCTCCTCTTCTATACAGCCAGATCAGGGGCAGGGGCTCTGATGCTCACTGTAATTAAGCCCTACTCTTATTTGGTCCTGAGGAACTGTCATAAGAAACTCAATGAATAATGGATATGTTGCTTAACTGAGACTATGAACCAGCTTGTAAAGAATTTGCTAAAAGTCTCAGTCTTGCATTGCAAAAAGGAATGTGACATCCAGGAGAATTATCATTAGCAGCACGGCCCAGTCATGTCTGCACTCCTGGTTTCTCCAGGTCAACAAAACTGTTAAGCGCGAGAAAAAATGACGGGATCAGACCTAGGGTGTTAGTGTCTTCCTTCCACATTAGGTCATTGAAAACTCTCTGCATTCCCAGAAGTCAATTTACAAAATTGCTCCAAGCAAATGCTTTGGATGGGTGGGAGAACCATGCACATGTTAAAAAAATCAGGGTCCTTGGTGGCTATAGAGAAGCTCCTCTGAAGACCATGCTCAGAGCAAACACGGCAATGAGTGGCACTGAGAGAGGCTGTGCCCCAGTTGCATTTTCTCAGAGCATCTGCACAGAAAATTGATATGGAGGCAAAGATAACAATCACATCTGCCAGCTAATACTTTAAAAAAGGTATTTTCTGTACAGTTGTCACTGAAAAGTGCCAGGGAAATAGGGCCTTCAAATGTTCACAAACAGAATCTGTCCAAAGCAGTGCAACATGTTTACTTTAAGCCATTTTTTAATGAATAACATTCAGTAACCAGAGTCAGAGACTAATTATCACACAGGTGCTATGCCTCCCTCTTAAGATAAGATGAATATTAAAGGATAAACCACAAAGCTACCTTCATTTGGACAGGGCTGCTCTTCCCATCTACTTTCAGGTTAATAATGAAGTACAACTTTTTCCAGATCAGAGCACAGTGTATCCTTCTCTCTCTTTAAATGTCACAGATCTATCTAGAAAAGAGAATGGCATATAACTGTACTCTGATTTTCATGTTTCAAGTCCCAGGCTACATATTCAAATGCTTTCCTGTTTCTGAAATCAGCTCTGCCATACATCTGTTGGAGTCTCACAGCAGGACAACAGCCTACTCTGTGTGAGCAAAGGTGATGCGTTATGTCCTGTACTATTCTTTCCAAGTCTTCAGACAATCTCCAGAAGGCATTCTGTTGCTAACAAACGGATTGTGACTCACAGAGACATTCAAAATTATGTTCCTGTAATTTCCATTTTTACTTTGCTCATGCAAATCCAGCCCGTTGGGGCTTGCCCAGCTTCTGTTTGGTAAATACTCACTACCTGGCCTCATACAGCAGTAGAGTGTGTTTGAACATCAGCTCGAAATGAGATCTAGCCAGGACAGTGTTAGGATAGACCAGTTCCCTTAGATGATGAAAATCAAAATGAAGAAGTACAAATAAAAAAAGGATCTGAAATATCAGTGCCTCCTCAATACCAGAAATGCAGTCTCAAAGAAATGAAAAGCAAGAGCTTAAGCCCAACAAGGGCAATCGCAAAGAAAAGCTGAAGTTTAGTAGCAGCCTGCCTGAGACTTCCCACAAAACACAATGACAATTTGTATCATCACAACATCAGCGCATTATCAAAGGCAGCTTATACAGTTCCTCTCCATGAAGTCATGGTGCTAATTATTTTGGCCGGTTATGTGAGCACCACATAGATAAAACTTTAATTGCCATTATATCAGATAACTACCTTTCACGTTAGCCACCTAGTCAGCATCAGGGAAGTAGCAATGTTCAAGCCTGGATGGTTCTTCGATTTCAACCTCCTGCATCTAGATTGCCCTCTGTGCAACCTCAGAGCACTGAGCCATGCTCATACCAGCGTCCTGCAAATAGCGCTGGATGCAATCGCTGCTCTGCCCAGCTAGGGACAGGAGAACCCACCCAGCAGGCTACCTAAGCTGGGCAGCGGCTGCGGTACCAAACGTGCAATGAGCTCTAACTTAACGTCACAGATTTTGTTACAAATATTGTGATATTTAGACTCCAGGAACATCAACTGATCATTCAGGAGGATGCCACGGGACCATCCTCAACATGCAAACTGCTTCCGGACAACAGAAGGGGAAGACAGGCATTTCTAGGGCTGGTTGGGAGCTAAGACCCTGCTAAGATACGTCAATACTTTGTCTGGTGTCTATCCTGAAATTCGTACAATTATCGATTGCAATATTTGAACATAGGGATTCTTCAGAGGAGGCCCCCTTCAGCGGTTTCTCATTTGGGGAGGTGAGGTGGGGTGTTAAGAACTACATTATTTTTAGAACATATTCAAGATGTTTTATTAATTCTTTCCTCCAAGGTGATTACAGGGCTCTACGCACAGCAATGCTCACGCTTTACAACCATGACTGACACATGAGCTTTCCCAGCTTCAGGCAGTAGCTTTCACTGGGCAGCACAGCAAAAGAAAAGGCAATATATTTCATCTTCCTTGTAGTAACACCAATCCTAACCACCATTTTTGAGCGGATGGGACTGACTTGAGCCAGGCAATGGTTGCTGTTTCCTGGCTCTGGCTCCAAGTGGTCCTGCAGAACCTTAATTAACTCACCCTGCTTT